GGGAATCCACAGGAAAAGGAAAAAAAGTTGGACAGGAAAACAAATAAAAAACACGAAAAAGAAAGATAAACATTCGACGTAACCAAAAAAACAAAGAAAAAAGATTCGACACAACAAAATCCAGGACAAGATTTCGCGAACAAATGAGATCGGCCCACGCCCTCCCTCCCAACAGTGGACGGCTTCCTGTCCCTCTCTCTCTCTGATGATGGGGGACAAGAACACTTCACCTCGACGCCTTACAACTGCCCCTCCCTCCCTCCCTCCCTCCCTTCCTCCCTCTTCAAAGAAAAAAAAAAACAGGGGAGTATCATGGCGGGCTTACTTCCCTTCCTCCTCGTCCAGCTGCTGACCTCCTGTTCGCTCTTCGTTCAATCCACCAAGCATGTTATCGACAGAGCTTGCATTAAAGAAGTCGAGTGAAAAAAATCGAGAAATTGAGGTAATTAAAGAAATTTGGAGTGGAGAAATTGAGGTAATTGAAGAAATTTGGAGTGGAGAAATTGATGTAATTAAAGAAATATTGAAGAAATCGAGGAAATTCAAGAAACAGTGGAAGGGAAGTGAAACAAGGAGAGGAGAACACAGGAAGCATCGACGAAGAGAGAAAAAACGCGAGAGAGAGAGAGAGAGGAGAGTAAGAGAAAAAGGAGAAGGATTCGACGGAGAAAATGGCGACGAAGCTAGGACAGTGGGTATTTGAGGAAAGCGTATATTTCTTCCCGCCGCCTGAACGAAGTCTTAAGTAAAGAATAAAATCATGACATTCAAGCGCCGCCAATGAGTGGTTAGTTGAGTGATTGCCTTTCTCTTGACTGCTTTCTCAAGCGCGCTGCGCGCCGGTAATGGCGCAACTCATGCTGCTCACAAACAGACTCATATTCGCCAATACTGTCATCGTCAACATCAATTACCTCCATCCTTAACCATTCTCTCCCCCCCCCCCCCCCCCCGCCTCGCCCTACCCCCGTCCAACCCCCTCCTTACCCAGGCTCTTCTCTCCCTCCCTCACACAGAACCACTACAAGAGATCCCTCCCTACCTTCCACGATTGCTTGGTCTTCCCAATCAACCCTTTCTGTCCAACTCACACAGCGCAATCACACACACTCATCCATTCCTGATTTTTCCCTCCTACCCCTCCCCCATCTCTCTCTCTCTCTGGTGTAAGAAAAAAACGCCATGTGATGTACACGTCATCTGCGCAGACTCATCCTCGTCCTGTTCGGTCACCCATCTATCCATGATCAGTCGAGCGAACGAAGCTACACCGGCTTATCTGCCGCCACGTGGACCAGACGCTTGCCGCCATCTTCTTGCTTCCTTTACCGTTTTCACGACTTGGCGTCGAGGGTCACTTCTCCGCGCTCCAACGCAGAGTAGAGTTCATCTGATTTCCTCTTCAGGTTCCAATGGTACATTTTCCAGACTGCTCCGCCAGCCAGTCCCATCGTCGCTGCAATGGCGATTTCCCGCACTAGGTTTGGGTGTTGTCTTTTCGCCGCAGCGGCGGCTGCAGGCACGAGGCGCTGAGCTCCCGCCATTTCCACGGCGATGGCGCCGCGACGTCAACAGCACGCGATCGACGAGGACGAAGATTCCAGACACACGTTGCGCCGAGAGCTTGGGCGCACGAAAACGTTGACACACTTGACAAGCTGACGGACGGTTACCAAGGCGTGTGGGCACACAGCGTCAGCGTGGCGGGGAGGACCATTACCCTTTTCACCCTTCACCCTTTTGTGGGTGGACGCGGTGCCGCCGAAAAGAGAAGCGGGGTTGACCCGCCAATCCACGTCACCGCCCTGTAAATAGGCCTCGGCACCACGGAGATATCGTGTTTGGCGCCCTTCCCCGCCCCCCCCCTCCCGGGGCAAGGTCCCACTGGCGCAAATTAGGAGATTTCGGCCGTTGATCTTTGCTATCTACGGTCAGTATCTCGCAATTCGTGCAAGTGGGACGTAGCCCCCGCTCCGGGCCCAAATCGAGGCGAGCGTTGGCTGGCGTTGGCTGGGGTTGGCCGACCAGGGGCCGAGTCCTACTACCGGTAGCAATGTCGCTGCTACCGGCTTCACCCGAATAGAACGCCTGGTCGTTATAGCGGTATTTGGCACAAATTTCAGCCCAGATACGGCGAGAATTACCGGGTGTTCTATTCGGATGACGACAGTAGTGGGACGTGGTCCCATGGAGGTGAGGTGACAGTAACAGGTTCGCAGGGCAGGTGGCGAGGCGGTAAGGGGCGCGCCAGTGGAACATATTTTATCCCTTCATGCCCGGAAGACCGGAACCTGGCCGTCCTTGAGGTCAGGTAGGCGCTTTCCTCACATGGACGCAGCACCGGTGGGGCCTCAACCTACGGAGTCCGTTTGGACCACAAAGGGTCATGCCTAAGGATGAGGGCGCACCTAGGGACGCTCATTTGATCACCCCGGGGGGGGGGGGGAGCAGTTCTTTTTTGTCTTTTTTTTGGATGTTAGCCAAAAGGCCGAGAAAGGTGTTGAAGTGAAGCATCTGGCCTAGTTAAAGGTGTGGAAGGTTGTGAGTTCCATCTCCGCTGACTGGGTGGGCCCTCTTGGTGCCAACCAACTGAGATGTCAAGCAACTGAGGTAGTTGAGATCATTGTTTTGCTCCGCCTGGTTGGTTGGTATTGTTGGGATCTTTGGTAGGGTTTTTCGCCAACACAGAAGTGTTGGTATGTTGGCTGTACCATGCCAAATTGTTCCATCGAACTTTCATCGGGAGGTTGAATCCTGACAGTCTGTCCAGGATGTATTTCACTGTCTGATACCACATTGCCTAGAGTTAGCAATACCCCTGATGAAAGTGGTTTACTTTATTCTCTACCACGTGCATGCGGGAAACGCAGCCCTAAGGTAGCCAAAGCAATGGGACTAAGTGGGTGCACGAGAGAGAGAAAGAGAAAGAGGATGGCAGAATTGGAATATGGGTCAAATTGCAGTTGCGATCTACCCTTTGGCCCACCCATGGTTGAGTGGCAAAAATGGAAAATGTGCCGAATTGTCGTGGTCTTAAACCACCAATACTTGGCTCAACTATCGGCCGCGGCAAAGAAAAGAGTAAAAATATTTCTAGTCGGATGAATTTGAGCGCTCATGTAGTAACCCGTACGTTTCCTAAAATCGTGGCGCGTTAACGGGCACGACTCTAGGAAGTACTGGTGGTTTTTGGAAATTTTCAGATATTTTTACTGGAAAAAACACAATCTAATTTATATATTCTCAAATTTTTAGATTTTTCAGTGAATTCCTCATAGCATAAAAAATCGCCAAAGTTGTCTTTTGTAGAACGTCTGTTTCGTTGCGCCTTCCCACATCTTCCCAGTATTGACCTCCCTATTTAGAGAATACAGGCCTCAATGCTTGGGTTGGAAGGCGCTTTTGCAATTCACATACAAGGGAGGACCGGTCCTCCAAATTTGCTACCATGCCTATTCTATACGCGATAACTGTAGGTAGTCCGTAAAAACTCGGTGGACCGGTCCCCCAACAACTTTCCCCATTAGTCCCCCGTCGTTGAAAATATGTCACATTGACACGGGCGTCGAAGCCTACTAAAGCGCAACCTTAGAGCTGCGAACTCGCTCCAACCCTGCAATCCTCACGAGCTTAGATGTGTGGCCTTCGACACTATTGTCTCTCAATGTGGGCGACGAAAATAGATGGGATGTGCAATCACTAACAAATGTTCGGTCGCCCACCCTTCTTCCATTTTGTGGGGCAGCAACGTCATAATTGGGGCCTACTATTTTCACCCAATACATTGTCGCACAGCTACAACAAACACTTTTACAAAGGAATTTGCTCAGTATTTTGGACATCGGATATTTTCAACTATCCACTGAAAATTTTAGGATACAATTAACTTGATAAGTAATGATCTGCCTAAAACGTATTCAGACCAAACCTTCAACACAAATAGTCTAAGGCCCAGTGGTTCGGACACCAATACAAATTAGTCAATTTTGGATGAGGTTACAGGTTTGATTCTTCAGACCTGCCCCTAAGAGGATTTGACTGGGGGCGTCCACTGGCGGGGCCATTTGCACATCGGGTTGTGCGGGTCTGGATATCTATGTTAGGGGGGGGAGGGGAGGGGGCTTAGTTGAGGAGAGTTAGGGGAAGGGGGGACACGCTACACTTCTAGGGTGCGATCGGGCATCTCCTTCAGCGACAGGCGACAATGGTTCGTGGATAGCCTCCCGACAACTTGCCCTTGAGATTTGAGCTCACGCTTGAGATTGAGTGTGAGTGTACCTAACTGCCATGATTGAAAAAATAATTAGGTTTGAATAGTGGTTAAAACACGATGTTAACCCTAATTTTAGCATCTTGATTACGGGACTAACCTACTCGACCTACCCTAGGGGGGTGGTGTGTATGTTGTATGGTCTCAGACATTGTTGTTTCTGAATGGGGGCAGCGAAAGTAGATGAGAATCACTAGGAAGTATTCGGTTGTCGACCCTACGTCCATTTTGTGGGGCAGCATCATTGTGACATCATAACTGGGGACCGCTATTTTTACCTGATACATTATCGCGCAGCTACAGCAGACACCTTTACAAAGAAATTTGTTAAGTATTTTAGACATCGAATATTTTTCAACCATTCACTGAATTTTTTATGATAAAATGACTTGATGAGTAATGATTTACCTAAAACGTACTTCGATTAAACCTTCAACGCAAATAGTATAAGACTCAGCGGTTCGGACAATAGTGCAAAATTGTCAATAATGGATAAGTTGACGGTTCGATTCGTAGGACTTACACCTAAGCGCACTTCATGTGACTGGACGGCGTCCACCGACGTGGTTATTTGCGCATTTGGTTGTACGGGTCTTGAAAATCTATGTTGCAGTGGGGGACTCAACATAAAAAATTCTCATAATGAATAATCATGCTATAGTAAAATTAGATTCTAAATTTTAAATTTTCATGTCATCTTCAAAAATGTCATTCAAATTTTAAAATTTTATGTCTTACTTGAAAATTTTCATTCAAAAAATTGGGTATCCCTTCTTATTTGAACTACATACTAGAGATGGAATAAAAGTATGGATGAGTTCATGAAATATTTTAATTGGACTCATTCTATGAAGGATTTTCAGTCACAAATAAGTTAATCGAATATAAATTAGAAGATATTTAATGTAGTAGAAAGAAAGTTCAATCAAAACATTTCATAAATTCGTTCAAACTTTCATTCTATCTCGAACAAATAAATATAGTTGGAAGAGAAAACTCATATTTGAACGGAAACTTATTAAATCAAACGAAAATTATTGAATTTGACGAACATTGGAATGATAATTTATAAATATGAAGAATTTTTTTTATGGAATATTTTTTCAACTTTCATTTTTTCCTGATAATTTTTATGTTGGAGGGGAGATGGTTGAGTTGGGGAGAGTTAGGAGAACGGGGGGGTAGGAGAGGCACGCTACCCTCCTAAATCTGATCGGACGCCCCCTTCAGCAATAGACGATATTGATGCTTGGGTAGACCCATGCTTGAGATCGAGTGTGGGTAGACCTTAGTGCCACGATTAAAATAAAATAAAATGAATCGATACTACCTCATATGTATAGTCAGGGTTAAACCATATATTTTAGTGTCTTTTGTGTAAGTGGGTGAGCCCCGTACGGTAAAGGTTCGTACAACTATAAATAGTTGCATTCAAAGGTTATTCACCATATATTCAAAAAAAAATTCCCAGGAGAAATGAAAGTTGAAAAAACATTCCATTCAAAACAAATCCTTCATATTTATAAATTATAATTCCGATGTTCGTGCAAATATAAAATTTACAGTTTCACTTGATAACTTTCTGTCTAAATATGAGTTTTCCCTTCCAACTACATCTATTTATTTAAAATGGAATGAAAGTCTGGATGAGTTTATTAAATATCTTAATTGAACTTCTATTCTACTACAACAAATACCTTATAGTTTAAATTTGATCAACCTATTTATGATTGAAAATTCTTACATACAATGACAGTGCAATTAAAATATTTAATGAACTCATTCAGACTTTCATTTCATCACTACTATGCGGTTCAAATAAGAAGGGATACCCCATTCTTGGAATGAAAGTTTTCAAGTAAGACGAAAAATTTTAAAATTGGAATGACATTTTTTTAGATGGAATAAAACTTTGAAATTTAGAATGTAATTTTACTAAAAAATGATTATTTAGTTTTGGAAAATTTTTCTATTGTTAAAATTAATGATGCAAAAAAATTACGACATCGCACAACTTCAGATGTCGTATAATCACACTATCAACATGACATAAAAAAAAAGAAACCAATTATTATACCTCACTATTTTTATAAAGCAACCATTCCGAAAGTTTTTGTAACGACCATACACAACCCTAGTAACATTTAAGTATTGCTCTTATTATGATTATTGTAGTTTTGCACTTCTGATAAGAAAATATGTACTCTACCTTACTTCGTTAGACAGAGGTTCGGATAGAACAGAGGTGATCAACCATGTAAGAAGTTTCACCTTTATGGAACTTTTGAAATTGAGGTGAGCTACAAACTCTCAAACTTCTACCAGTAGAGAGCATGCTCCTGCAATTCTCAAAGTATACGGTAGCGCGATAAGTTTAGGAGTGTTTTTTCTTCAACAAAAGACACCAAGATCGAACTACTGTTCCGTTTCTGAGGCTAATTTATTTTTTTAGAGGAAATGTTTTAATTAAAACATCAATCATTCAACAAGAACATTCCCACGAGAAATGAAAGTTGAAA